TAGGTTCTTTCAAAAGATTTCTTTGAACAAGACTGAGAGAGTGCTCCTTAGCTTATGCTCTTTTTTAAGAGACAACAAAAAATCGATTTTATGTCTTTTGAGTGTATTATTCCACGTCTCAATTTCCTTATCTACATGGTATCTGTTGTGTGTATGTCTCTATGTCTGTGTATCTCTGTGTGTTTTAGGACAATGGTCTCTAATCCCTGCTTCTCAAATGTTGACAAGCATAGGAATTACAAATTCATATGGAAATTCTGATGCTAGGGTCTGGGGCAGCCTGAGATTCTGCCTTTCCAACAGGCTCGCAAGTGATGCCCAGACGGCTGGTCTATGGGCCACACATGAGGTAGTGAGTGTCTCTAAGTTCCATCTCTGAGACTTTGGGACCTTATGATGACTTCATGAGTAGCAATCATGCTTCATATTAGTGATTCCTAAATACAGCTCTTCATATTATAAAATTGTAACAAGACCACTTTTTGAGTAAACAAATCCCCAGGGAAAATAGAGACCTTAACTCCTGAGGAATGGGTGACATCAATAAATCTGGACCAGGAGGCATGATGTGGGGAAGGAAGTGATGCGTATGTGCTGGGCATGATTTTAAAGAATAGGAGATAAAATTTGCCAACAGACTGGATACGAGGTGTGAGAACAGGGGTGCCAAGGCTGATGATGACATTCTGCCAGTTCATCTAGTAGAATGCCGCTCCTCTGACAGCAGGAGCAGCTGGGGAAGAACCAGTTTGGGTTGGTGGAGAAGTGAATGAGGGAATCAACAGTCCATTTGGGTGTGTTAACGTTTTTTTCCTAGTTCCTTTTTTTTAAAAAACACCTTTATTGTGGTATGATTCCTGTACAGTAAACTACACATATTTCAGATACACAATTTGATGAATTTTGATAGATGTATACGCCAGTGAAACTACCACCACAATCATGATAGCTAACTTTTCTATCACTCCCCAAGAGATGCAAATTTCAAACTCCTAATTTATCCCTTCCCACCCCCTTTACCCTCTGGTAACCATAAGTTTGTTCTCTGTGTCTGTGAGTCTGTTTCTGTTTTGCAGATAAGTTCATTTGTGTCTCTTTTTTTAAGACGCCACATATAGGTGATATAATATGGTATTTTTCTTTATCTTTCTGAATTACTTCACTTAGAGTGACAATTTCCAGGTCCGTCCAGGGTGTTGCAATGACACTGTTTTATAATTTTTTATGAGTAGTATTCCATTGTATAAACATACCACAGCTTCTTTATCCATTTATCTGTCAATGGACATTTGGGTTGTTTCCGTGTCTTAGCTATTGTATATAGTGCTGCTGTGAACCCAGGGGTGCATGTATCTTTTTGAATTATATTTTTCTCCTGATATATGCCCAGGAGTGGGATTGCTGGATCACATGGGAAGTCTGTATTTACTTTTTTGAAGAATCTCCATACTGTCCTCCATAATGGCTGCACCAATTTACATTCCCACTAACAGTGTAGGAGGGTTCCTTTTTCTCCACACCATCTCCAGACTTTTGAATGGTGGCCACTCTGAAGACTAGTGTGAGGTGATACCTCATTGTAGTTTTGATTTGCATTTCTTTAACAATCAGTGATGTTGAGCATCTTTTCATGTGCTTGTTGCCCATCTGGATGTCTTCTTTGGAGAGGTGTCTATTTAGATCTTCTGCCTATTTTTTGATTGGGTTGCTTGTTTTTCTTTTTTCATTGTGTGAGCTGTTTGTATATTTGGAAATTAATCCCTTGTTAGTCACATCATTTGCAAATATTTTCTCCCATTCTGTAGGTTTTGTTGATGGTATGCTTAGCTGTGCAAAAAAGCTTTTAAGTTTAATTAGGTCCCATTTGCTTATTTTTGCTTTTATTTCCATTACTCTAGGAGCTGGTTTGAAAACAATATTGCTGTGATTTATGTCCAAAAGTGTTCTACCTATGTTTTCCTCTAGGAGTTTTGTAGTATCTGCTCTTCATTTAGGTCTTTAATCCTTTTTTTTTTTTCTGTATATGGTGTTAGACAGTGTTCTAGTTTGTCTTTTACAGGTAGCTGTCCAGTTTTCCCAGCACCATTTGTTGAAGAGAGTCATTTCTCTATTGTCTATTCTTGTCTCCTTTGTCACGGATTAACTGAGCGTAAGTGAGTGGGTTTATTTCTGGACTTTGCATCCTGTTCCATTGATCTGTGTGTTTTTGTGCCAGTACCATACTGTTTTGATTACTGTACCTTGGTAGTATAGTCTTTGTACAATTTCAATTAAATTTACTTAGGCTTGCTTTGTAGGCCAACATGTGATTGATCCTGGAGAATATTCCATGTGCACTTGAGAAAAATGTATATTCTGTTGCTTTCAGAGGGAATGCTCAACAGATAGACCGTCTGGTCTAATGTGCCATTTAGGGCCTGCATTTCTTACTGATTTTCTGTCTGGATGATCTGTCCATTTGATGGAAGCAGGGTGTTAAGGTCCCCCACTATTATTGTGTTATTGTTGATTTCTCCTTTAACTGCCTTATATATTGAGGTGCTCCTATGTTGGCTGCATATATATATTTACAATTATTACATCCTCTTCTTGGATTGGTCCCTTGAGCATTATGTAGTGTCCTTGTCTCTTGTAGCAGTAGTTTAAGATCTATTTTGTCTGATAGAAGTTTTGCTCTTCCAGCTTCATTTAGGTGTCTGTTTGCATGGAATATCTTTTTCCATCCTCTCACTTTCAGCCTGCAGGTGTCTCTAGCTCTGACGTGAGTCTCTTAGAGACAGCATATATATGGGTCTTGTTTTTGTATCCATTCAGCCAGTCTATGTCTTTTGGTTGGAGTGTTTAATCCACTGACATTTAAGTTAATAATTGATACATATGTTCTTATTGCCATTTTGTTAACTGTTTTGTAGGTCTTTTTTTTTCTTTTTGTTCTCTTTTCTTGTGGTTT